ATGTTGGCAGGGTTGGTTTCTCCTAAGGCCTTTGTCCTTGGCTTGCAGATGGCTGCCTTTTCACTGAATCCTCATGTGGCCTTTTCTCTGTGTTTGTATACCTCTGGTATCTCTTCTTTTCTTATAATGACACCAGTCATACTGGATTAGGGCCCTATCCTGACAGCCTCATTTTACCTAAATCACCTCCTAATGCCCTGTGTCCAAATACAGTCACCTTGAGGTTAGGACTTCAACATATGAATTTTGGAGGATGCCATTACGTCCATAACAGAACTTAAAACATCAAACATTAATCTCATAATTTTCATGGGTTGGGGATTCAGGAGCTGTTTCCCACATGTTTCTCTCCATAGAGTTACTTGAATGTCCTCATGACACGGGCAGCTGGTTTCCCTCACATTGAGTGACCCAACAGAGAAAGGAAAAGTCCTTGATGCCTTGTGTGATGTAGTCTCGAAAACTACACTGCCACTTCTGCCATATTCTATTCATTAGAAGTGAACATTTAAATCTAATCCATTTTCAAGGGGAAGGGAATCAGGCTATATAATTTTTGAAGGAAGGAATGTCATGTAATGTGGACATATTTTAAAACTACTACAAAAAGGAAACAGTGTTAGGTGAAATTAGACAGAAATATGGATCAGGGTAGTATAATAAGATTAAGGTAGGAATAAAGTCATAGAGATTGTACCTATCATAGATACTAGAGTCAGACACTGAACACTCAAGAAAGGAAGAATTGAGTAGTCAGATAGCAAAGGTTAGTTATCAGAGACACAAAGCTAAAGCGGTTATGAAAAGAGAAAGAATCCCTCTGGGGAATAACATTCTACCAGCAAGCGTTCCTTTTTAATTTCAGAAAAATGTATTTTTCATTTCTATAATTTCCATTTGTCCTTTATAAAGTTTCTATTTTTCTGTTGAGATTAACTAGCTTTTCCTTTATTGTAAGCATGTTTTCTTAGAATACTCTAGGCTAAGGAAAACACTAGTAGTTGGTTTAGCATATTTACAGTAGTTGCCAAAACAAATGCTTGCATGCTAATTCAAACATCTGGGTCATCTCAGAGTTAATTTCCTTTGTCTTTTTTCCTGAGACAAAGTCATATTTTCCTAGTTCTTTTTATGTTGAGTAATGTTGAATTGACCTCGCCATCGGTATTGTGAATGTTGTGCTGTGACTTCTGTTCTATTCCTTCAAAGAGTGTTGAGGATGTTTTGTTTTGTTTTTAGCAGGCATTTACCTTGGTTGGAATCAAAGTGCAATTTCTATCTCTTGGGTAGCTCTCTTATCTTTACTGGGCTGCTGTGAGTCTTCTTTGTGCATGCATGGCTCAAGGATAAGCCAGGGACCCAAGTAGAATTTATACACAAAACTTGGGTGCCTCCTTTCAGGCTCTCTCCTTTCTGAGATTTTATCCTTTACTTGATAGTGCCCGTAGTTGCTCCAAACTCTACCCTTTCATTCTTTAGAGCAGAGGGACTGCAGGTTTTCTATTGGAGTTAGCTGTCACATGAAGTGTTGTTTTCAGTCTGTTCTTGTGCTGGAAGTTGTAAATTTGGAAATCTCTTCTTCCAAAACTCGCTTCAGAGTTTTGAAGGTTTTCTTCACTTTCAAGAAACTTCAGTTTTTCTTTTCCTTTTCTTTTCTATTCTTTTCTTTTCTTAGTTTCTCCCTCCTTTTCTCCCTCCCTCCTTTCCTCCCATTGTGTATTTTGTATGGAACTTATATTTGTTATCTGCAAGAGTATTGGGTCCAGTAGGAGCATACTTAGTTATATCTAAAGTGGAAACCTATGGCTGTGGCCTTTTATTAAAAAGGATGGGAGGGGCTGGCTGAGTGGCGCGATGGTTAAGAGCTGGCTTGGGATGCCAGAGGGCCCTGGTTCGGATCCCACATGTGAGGGCCAGTGACACTNGTTACCAGCATACGATCGGTCACATGGGTGTGAATGGAAACACCCAGGAAGAGTGCATAGATTAAGGGGAGAAGAGGTTCGAGGCCTGAGCTTTGAGGAACTCCAATAAATAAAGACTGCGCAGAGGAGGCAGGGCAAATGGGCCAGAGGAGAGCTGCCCAGCGGGGTGCTGAGAGGGCCAGAGGAGGAGAGCATTAAACAAAGCATGGGGAGGTCCACAATATTAAAGGCTCGTTAGAGGACAAGGAAGACAAAGCTTGACAAAGATCTTGTAGACAATACTATGCTGACTGACACCAATAGAGCCAGACCATAGATCTTTCCAGCCTAATCAAAGGCGTCTATTGCGCCTAAATCATGCGTAAGTCACAGAATGTTCCTCTCTTCCCCTGCGATGTTTCACAATCCGCAGATCAAGCCTCTCTTTCCTATCATTTTAACCACCTATATCTCATGACAAGTAGTACGGCCTTTACGGATTGAGAGGGAAGATTATACTTTTGTTTACTGATTTGGCCTAGGATGTTCAATTTAGCTTTTCCTTAGGAGTGTTTGGCATGTTATGACAAAAAATACCCTCCTCCAAAGAGTTTCTCATTGATTTGGGCTTTATAGGACATC